GATCAGGAGATTACCTTACTAACAAGTCGTTACTCTGGCTTCCCTACACATTTTGCTCAACTATGAACCTTTTCGGCGACTTTGCTCACCCGCCAACTCGCGACCGGTTGCGTTTAAAATATTGCTATTCAAATGGGGATTCACCACATCGACAGAAACTTAAGGTATACTAAAATCTCAAAAAATGAATAAAAAGAGCTTTCTTGATTGTGGGTGCGCATAGGAGAAAAGTACCGAGAATACTTTTCTGGAAACGCATATTTCTGACCGATGGTTTGCACGATGCCGATGCTCTAAGTCTTTTATTCCAACACTGTTCTCCTTTCTCGCTCAGAATTCTTCCACTATCCATAAGTACTCAATCTTTTCTCACTTACATCAATTCTGAATAATTGGAAATAATTGAATGCTTGATATAAACTTAGTTATAGTAGGAGTTTTCGATGAACAGGTATCGATAAAACTCTCCACTGCCTTCCTGGAAGCAGTGACTTCTGTCTAGGTGTAGGTACAGAAGCAGCATGATTTTCCAACTGGCAAACTTTTCATAAATACTCTCTCCATCTCTGCAGCATTGGTCAGAAATGTGACTGTTCTCTCCTTGAGATCTTTTTCTATTGCTTTTTTCGACGTTTTGCAAGCTCTAACGTGCGTTTGCTCCTCTCTGTGGTTTGCGCTATAATAAGTTGGCAAATCAGCGCTAGTGTCCCTATGGGTAAGTGTCTGGCGACCATCAAACTCTCAACTCCCATAGTGCTGACCAGAAGGGAATGATTAGGCCCGTACTTGTCCTCGTCGATGTTGTCAATAGCGGCATAGTTTCGAATGTCAAATACTCATTCGAGTGATTCTCAATTTGAAATGACTTTGAGTTTTCGTCTTGTGTGATCAGTGGCTCTCTCTTCTTTTCAAGAAAAAAATAATAGAACTTTTTTTGACTTCTAACTCTACATTGATCCATCATGTAGTGTTTTTTCACTGTGCGGATATCAGGACTTCTAGCAATTGAACGTTTTCCCTCTTCTTCTTGAACGGCGTATAATACTGCTTGCTTGAGCAATTATCCTTAGAATCTTGAGGATACCTTGCTGTGGCGTTCCATAGGACGTCGTTGCTGACTGCCGGAGAGAGGTGGGGGATGGAGCTCGGCCCCACGCGCGCCGTGACAAGCATCACAACCATTGGCCACGGCGCCCAAAAAAAATGTTGCACGAGTAGCTCTATGTTTTGCTCTCGTACAGCACTTTAGATAAATAGTGATATCACTCAAAAAGAACTTTCGATTTACTGTGATGTCATCTATTTCGTTATGACACCCTTCACTGCAAAATTCTCAAGCTCCTCGCCACTAGTGGACCTTCTGAAATGCAAGTTTCAATGAGTGGTCTATGTCGTCATGCCAAACTTAGAGAGTCACTCACCCGCTTGTTTCAACGTAATTCTTGGATCCTGACGCCGTGTAAATTCTGACGGTCTTCTAGGTACAATCTTTGTGCTAAAATGTTCAATGACCGAAAAATGTATGGCCGTTGCTGTAGCTTTCCTAACCCGTCTAGAACGCTTCAGCTTCGCCTTCGAGCTTGATGTCTGCTTGTGAAGAAGGAAGGTAATCAGTTAGCACTTACCCACATTACCTCGACAGTGTGCCTTTGAAGCGAGTTCTTAATTGTTCATATGACTCAATAGTATTCATGGTCAAACTCGCTCTGACCGAGAGCATCAACACAGCGAACTACTCTGCTATGACACGTTTCTCGATTAGCTCATTTACGATTCCACAGATTGTGTTCACTAGGCAGCGCGTTGTCTCAGTCATTCCGAAAACGTCGACCTTTTCCGTTCCACTCATGATCAGGGACCTACACAAAGGACTCAGAAGCGTGAACGCGCACTGTACACTTTAGTTACAGATTGGTATCATGTTCTTCCACACTTAAACAGGCTAGAATGAAGCTGTTTTCAGCAACCTCTTTGTGCTTGTGCTCCCCTATCCTGACGTTTTGATGCTCCTTCGCGGTCAGAGGAAGAAAATCTACTTATTTCATTGCTAAACTCTTGATGCCCAGCACGTATTACTTGCTGAGATCTCAAGATGAATACTAATGAGTAGTTTTATATTCAGCTGCTTTTATAGACCTTGATCATAACAATTTGTAACTTGTTAATAAATCTTATGCTTGTCAAGGGTCTGTAATGGCACTTATACACTGCTAGACACGTGTTTCAGCATTACAGCCTCATCAGTAGTGCAGTGCTTTTCGCTTCAGTCAACTCTTAAGGGGGGTATATCCCCTACATATAAAAGGATTTCAATATGCCTGGTAATCATTATTTGAGCGTCGCATGTCAGTGGTCTGTCAATGAGGGCTCACTTATAGAGCCCGATACACGTGTTTCGATCTAGCGATCTCGTCAGTCGGGCAGTTACCTTTTCTCGACTTTTGCTAATCTCTGTGGGTGCTCCAGTCCCCACAATAAGAGTTAGCGACGACGTACGATTTACACTCTATGTCCAGTAAAGAACCCACCAAACACAGAGTGTTGTACATTCGAATGCGTGTAAATCGTACGTCGTCGCTAACTTTTATTGTGGGGACTGAAGCACCCACAGAGATTAGCAAAAGACGAGAAAGGGTAACTGCCCGACTGACGAGATCGCAAGATCGAAACACGTGTATCGGGCTCTATAAGTCAGCCCTCATTGACAGACCACTGACATGCGTGGCTCAAATGATGATTACCAGACATATTGAAATTTGAGCTGTGGTCTTAAGAAAACACTCGAAACAAAAGATATGATATAAAAGGATTGACGTCGAATTATTCCAGATCGCCGTTTGTCAGGTGGTAAAACCCTCCGACATTACAGTGACCACAAGTCGACAACTCATGGCTATTAGGCTGGTGTACTAATTGGTAGGCTTCTCCTCTTTAAAGAGTAGTATGAAGGGACTTACTCATTGGAGACCACTACTAACCGCCTCTAATTCACATTCCCAGTTACTTGATTGCCTGTTTTGACCAAGTTCTCTTGTAAAATTCAGGAGTATTTGTCATGCAGGTGCAGCTGAGACAGTCAGTGAGTCTCCTAATTCTACCTGCGTCTCAAGGAAACACAAGGCCGCTGTTGGCCTGCGTTTGGTACCCATCTGTCATCTGGAAATGCTCCACGAGACCTCGCCTTCCAGCCACTGAGCGCTCTTTCCAAAAGGGAGACTTGTGAATCAATCCGTACCTTGCTATTAATTCTTTCCTGTTTTTGAAGTTCTTTTATGTGTTTTTCTAAGCAATAGAAGCTCATCTGTTAATCATCTCAAAAAGATATTCTTTCTATTTGATCGCTTATAGCGGTGGTATGATGTTCCAAATATATACCCATTGATGTAGAGTGATGTGCAAAACTTTCACGCTTAGGCGGGACTAGAACCCGCAGCTCACTCTTTCCGGGAGCGCGTGCTCTGTCCGTTACACTACTGACGCCTATTTTGCACATCGCTCTTTCTACACTACAGCGCACCTATCTGTCAGCCGCCAGCCGTCAGCGGTCTGGCCCGGGTAGTCGGTCTCGACATTGAACCCAGGCACGCTGACAGATATTGGGTGCTATAGATTGAATGATATTCTTTTTATTCAACTTATTTATAGGTGCGCTGTAGTGTAGAAAGAGCGATGTCCAAAATGGGCGTCAGTAGTGTAACGGATGGAGCACGCACTCCCGAAAAGAGTGAGGTGGGGGTTGTAGTTCCGCCTTACGCGGAAGTTTTGCACATCGCTCTACGTCAATGGGTGTATCTCAAAAAGTCTGGTTTCCAAGTCTAAGTTCATCAACATTTTAGCATGAAATACGAGGCGTTTTCGTTCTAAGGTAACTCATCGCAGGAACTAATAGCAGATGCGGGAAAATGACAGAATGAATTTGTCGGAGTGTCAACACTAAAAAAAAGGTCCTGTCTCCATTGATGTGGAAAGAATTGTATGTTCATCACATTTGAGGTTATTGTAAAGGCAGCAAATCCGCCTCCATAGACTTTTGATGTGAAGTCATTGGAGTGTACATATGTGGCACTGTCACTCTTGAATGCAAATAGTGGAATTTGCACTGGAACTGATGTTATGTCAAATGATATCATTGCTTGGAAAATAAAACATTGTAGCACTGTTTTCGTCTTCCATGAAACTTGCTTAAGGGTCACCTGCACTTGCTTCTGAAAAATTAGCGTTTTGTTTGGTCAGCGCTAGCGACAAGCTCCTCGAACTTTATATCTTCAAAAATTGCAGTTTCTGCCATTATAGAAGAAAGCTAACAACGTAACTTGTCCAAAATACTACCTATCTTAGAGAAATGTTTTGTGAAGATTTCGCTCGTTCGATCAGTAAAGTTCTCTGTTTGAGAGTCAGAGACGTTTAAATGAGGGTTATATGATGGTTTTCTAGACCATTTATTGGAATGTTCGTTGCTTGACTACATAAAATGACAATAGTAGGATTTGAGCATTTGTGGTGACTCAGGTCCAGTGAGTTTCTATCACTTCAGGTTAGCCCCTCTTTTAGCATAAAACTTTTTTCAGTATGACAGTTCGAATTGTGTGCTTTCTTTTGTGAATTGAGAGAGCAAAAAGATTTTTTCTTATAAGTTCATAGAGATGTTATCATTGCAATAGTGCAGATATGTACGAAGTGCTCTTTGTATACGTTTTCCGATAGCTTTTCTATGTAATCAATGAAAAACAGTTTATGAATCCAATATGTGGAGTACTGTGCAGAAACGTTTGCGTCAGCCTGGGTTCGAACCCAGATCTCACTCTTTCCGGGAGCGTATGCTAACCGTTGCACTACCGGCGCTCGTTTTGACAGCACTCTTATCTACGCTATAACGCGTTGTCTGCCAAAAGCCAACCGTCGACGGTCTGGCGGGGCAGCCGCTATCGGCATTGAACCCACTTGTGTTAACTGACATTGGATATCGATAATCAGTTTAAGTTCTTTTTATTTTGACTGCCGTAGTCGGTAGTGCAACGGTTAACATACGCTCCCGGAAAGAGTGAAATCTGGGTTCGAATCCTGGCCGACGCAAATGTTTTTGCACAGTACTCCACATATTGGGTATACTATAAAATCGTACCACTGCAAGTGGCAGTCAAAATAAAAAGAATTTAGACAGTTTATGAATCGATACAGTAAAAGATATTGTTTCCAGATGAGTTAAATTCATTCGAATTACGGTCTTTAACAATGGTTTGTTTATGTGGTTATTTAGTCTGATATTGTAAATTTGTCATCGCTAGGGGTTCTCAAAGTGCGCACGAGCATGAAGTTGCTCGTTGTTAATAGACTATGTTTAAAGATAGCATGAAATATGGCTGTTTTGGCTACTATCAAAGCATTTGTATTTGTGTCTGAAAAGGATGAGATTTTTATGTCCATGAATCAGAAATCCAAATAAACTGGAAAAAATAAGTTTTATCACTCTACTTTTTTCTGGATAACAATTCGTTATGGATTGTCACTGCCTCTCTTTCTCGCTTTCGGAGATCGAATCGCCCAGTAGAGTTTTTTTTAATATATTTTGCTTTTTTCTATATTAAGGTTCGAAATGTATGGTGCATAAATGCTTCAGCGGCTATCACTTCCTTAAAAATTCCTATTGTGAAATGACCTTTCCAAATTAAAAATAATTCTCGGAGAGCGTTGCATACAGCGTAGTCCAAGCGTTTTACAATTGCTGTGTGTAAAAGTCACTCGCTGCACTTTCGCATTCTTTTTTGCTCCATAGACTCGCTTTTCAGCAATGTTTGAGAGAACTTCTATATTCTACTGCCTAATTATGCCTGAACTTTTGATTTTTGACACGAAGCGTCGTTGCTTGATCAGATGTTTTTTGACACGGGATCGACGGGCTCTTCACCAATGTTATCCCAAGCCAGTTCAGCAGCGGCTAATCGATTCTGCCTACATTTACTCCATTATAAATGATAAAGTAATTATTTGCTGCCTTTTTACAAACTGAATTATGAGTTGCATAATAGTGTTATGCATTGTCGATTACACTAATTTCAGTCTTTTATTCTTGTAACTGTTGAAAATATTCTTTGAGAAAATGAATGCATTCAATAATGTCTCCAGGTTAGATTGCCACTTACTTTAATAATCACTCAATAATCTTCCTTCACAAATTTGTCTAGATACCGATGTGCCTTTCACTTGACGAGTGTTTCGGGAAATTTTTGCTCAGAATTCCTAAAAGTCTGCTCCATTTCGGTCCTATGCCGTCACCGGTGATTGCGGGCACTTCCTGGTATCCCAGTGCGGCGAAGGTTAGCTTTCCAATTTGATCCTAAGTACTTGCAGAGCACTGAACAGGGGTTAATGAAATTGACACGCTATGGCATAAACGGATTATAAAAAGAGAGTTTCGAAGTAGATGTTACTGAATCTATTAAGAGACCTATTACGATTACATCATCGAATGGAGGATGGCGTAATGCGGTGTGCCACATCAAGGGTGATAAGCAAGGTAGTGGTTCAGTTCCTTACCAAAACATTCTCTTGTAATCCGTCTGATTGCGAAGCCTCAGCTCGGTCATCTCCAAAATTGCCAGGAAAATTGGCCTACTAGGGCATTCATCAAGTTGACGCAATTCTCAGCGGTAGCTCAAGCAGCATGTGAAGTATTCAGAGACCCAATGATATCAAATGATGTGCAGAACTTTGACGCATGCGGGACTCCAATCCGCATTCAATCCGTTCCGGCGGCGTTTCTGGCGTACAAAGAGTGTTAGCAAAACATCGTCGGTAATGCAATTGGTTAAGCATGCCCCACCTTCCCCCCCCCCCCCACCAGAAAGGATGAAATGCGGGTTCGAGTCCCGCCTGACGTCAAAGTTATGCACATCATTCAACATCATTGAATATATCTATAACATCATGCCACCGCAAAAGCTTCAAAATGAAAGGATTTTCATTCCAAGGCTTTCGAGGAGGATGAATACGAAGGAAACGAATCAAATGCGATATGTATTGGAATCGGTGCAGTAGACTGTGATGATGAGATGTATGAAATGAGTTAAATAATAAATAAATACCATCAAAGTGGGATTAGAGTGCTTTAAGCATAAACATCATAAGTATAAGTAGTTATCTGATCTAACACCTCGCAATGTTAAGTAGTGGTGGGATCAGTATGAAGCCATTAATTACTACAAGTCACTTGGATCTCATCTTCGATGAACATTGCAGCAATGTTTTTCGACTGTTACCTGGCGTTGTTCTCTATCGTAGATACTCTGGTGCGATCCGCATGTTTCTAGCATGCCACCACAATATCGATGTTACGATAGTCTTTATGGTTATTTGCCTTGCAATTTTCTTCCGCTACGTCAGTCTATTGATTGAGAAGGCAGCTTTTCGCTTCCGTCACTACGATAGTAGGAGACAGTTTTCTTCATGTCAACCTCTGCTATCTATAAACAGATTAATTCTCAAATAACGACTATATACACACATGTATAGTAATGTATATATGTATATATATACACATATATACATGTATATATATATATACGCATACATATTCATGTACATATATCTGCTGGGAGCAGAGAGAACTTAAATACTGCTGTTTGCGCAATGCCGCCTACTACAGTTTTGAGCATAACACTTCTTACTCAAATACCTTCATCTGATATTATCTGTAAAAAATTACGGATTAGAGAATTTTTGATCGTAATGTGAATCTTTCACGATTTCTTTCACATTCGTTACTATCCTCACCCATATGTTAAATTTTAGCTTACTTTTTTTTAGGGAATCATCTAACTTTTAACACTTTTAAGAAAAGGGATAAATTTGGCTAGTGTTTTTTTTGACGGCCTGCGACCTAATTTAGCAAATAGCCGGCTTTTCCCCGCTGAACAACTTTTTCAATTATCAATGAAACTGTGCAACCTTCAACTTTACTCGTCGTTGTACATTCGATGCACAAAGTCCAGACTAGAACCGGCGAAACCGGTGCTCTTCATAACGGCTACTCACCCATGATTTGTCCACAATCGCGTTCTACCTGGATTATGTTTGTTTTATTCGTTGACTACGATATTTTCGATTCATGACAATAAAACCTATTGCCGGAAACCGGTTCGATTCAAGCTGAAGTTCCATTCGATTGTGTTGTCCTCCCTTTTTGAGTCATCGTTGCATGTCGATATGACGTTCCGATGTGGGGTGTTTTGTCCTCGTAGTCCTCACAAACAGTGACAGCTTTCTTTGATTGGGATACGGATCATTCAAAGAGAACAGTAACAGACGGTGTAATTCACAAGGTTGTTGATCTTTGAAAGTACATTGGAAATGTTGCAGTCCAATTTTGTTGCAACCTTTTCAGTCGTAAAACGCTGTTCCGCTCCAGATGCTCGTAATTTTTATCTTACCACTTAACTAAAATTTTCAATTTAGTTTTTCAATATATTGTCCATGAACACCGGAATTGTAGTGATAATGTTCGACCTTACATGTCAGTGCACCTGAATAGGCACGAGCTGCTCTTTTGAAAAATTTTTTTTAATCCTCAATCGTTTTTTCTTATCTGTGACTTATCTCGCGTGCCTTTCTAGAACGCACTTTTTCTTCGATATTTATTTCTGAAGTATTCCTTTTCTGACTCACCCTGCTAGGTAATTAAATAGTGCTGGGACTCAATATCAGTTAATCCAGCTGTAAAATCTAAGTTCATTGTTTTTCATTGGAAAGTGAAACTAAGATTGCTATTTGCCTCTTGATGCTCAATCCTAAATTGTCTTCTACAAACTTCACAGCGTTCATCTACCCCTTTATCATTTCGCGTCATGTGTTCTTCTGTTTTTGCTTTCGTTACCATATGCTGGCTCTTTTCAACTGGACTAGCTATTCATTTGCTTACGTTTCTTGATTCCCTTTCCTTATCAAATGGTATCGGTGGAACGTAACAGTTCAAATACCGAAATCCTTTTGTAAATTATTATAGACTAGTAGGATCGGTCAGATGCTGCTATTTCAATTGACATTTTCTGTGGTTCTGCTTTTCCTTCTACATTACGCCCCAACTGGCTGACTCAACGTTATCAGCGCTGAATTCGCACACTGCCATCAACCAGCGGCTTCTCTCTTCATTGTTAAATATTTAGCAGTTTTTTTTTCGAAAACGTAGTGATTTAGAACACATAGGGCAATCCTAAACTGTTTTGGCATGTCCTTTCGGCTAATATCTTATTTTTTGGATCTTCTTTTTCAGCAGAACACGTGAAAAGCTAACAGCATAATATATATACGTATATGTAAATATATACATGTATATCTATATACATACAGATATGCGTGTGTCTAGTCTACATATGCAAATATAATACCTTTATGTGTGAAAACATGGCTTGGTACTTATTTAAGAATTCATGCTATATCAGCGTATTTTTGTATGTGCAAGAAAGCGATTATGTGAATAGGGCGCAAACATTATTTTCTACGTGTGAGTAACATATTATCAAATTGATATCTATGTTTCTTAAGATTTGCATCTTTTATTATTCGAAAGTTCCTTTTCAAATTTTTGTTACGGAACCCTCAATGAAATGAATATTGTTCTAACGAGGTATATTTTTTATGGTAGACAGTGGATAGTTCATGAAGTTTGAAGTCACATCCAAGTGCTCGCTTCTACCTCAGGTTCGTGTCATACGGTAGGAACTGGAAACGAATAAAATCTTCGAACAGGTCAATCCTGATAGATTATGCTTCCATGAATTTCAATGATTCGTGACTGTAGACGTGACGATGAGAGATAGATTGGAATGACGCACTCCTGGATTTTCCACATAAAAGTGTAATCTACTCCATAAAGAAACATATAGAATTTCATCCGCTTCATTCTCTGCTTGTGTTGTGATTTTACACAATGAATAGGATATGCGAAAAAAGAGTGATCGCGTTTCTGCTAAACTCGCTAATTTTTGTGGAGTGTCGTAACGAGGTCACATAACCAGAAACCTGACTGCGAGAGGAAGGTTTATAATAATCCAGGACTTATCTCTGCACTATTGCGTTCT